AAAATACAAGTCATTTGGCCACACACACAGTCATTGGTCAAGAGGTCTAATGACAGACAGTACCAGATGTCAGGCGATCCTTGTTCAAGTGGTGAGATGTTTGCGTGTGTTTTTAACAATTGACTTCATCATATGCTTTTGATAAAGTCACAAACAAACGTTCTTTGTCAAATTGTAAAATAGTCGATGGTTGGTGAAAAACTTAGTCTCAAGTTTGGTGGTCTATTAGAGACCTTTAGCATCTAAAATCGAAACATCATTTGAAATATATTGAACAACATGTGAAATATACGGGTTGTGGTATACACCAGATATTAGTCGAAATAATCTACTGCAATAGTGTAGGGTCAGGTCGACACATGGCGTGAATGAGTTGAAGTGTTGGACGAAAAAATATACCGGAAATACCCTAAACTTGAATGAAAAATGGTGTATTGATTTATTAACCAAAGAAATGGCGTTTACAAGGGCATGCTCTCGTGTACTACAGATATACCCCGGAGAATATATATCGTTCAAGTAAATAGAAGTATATATTAACACTATTTCACGGGATTCTTTTGGATTAGCTGTTAATGGAGAAATAATACTATTAATCTTATGATTAAAATCTTTGAATCGATAGTAGACACAGGTCGTGGTCGGTGCTGGGATGGGTTCTAGCTCGGTCAAACGTCGCTACATCTGCGACACAAACCTCATGAAGGGCACTGGCAGGGTCCACGTAATACACTAGCGCCCATAACATTGTTAGAACGCATGTATTACGTACTTACTATATACACTAACTATTATAGTAGTAAGTTAGCCTACTACTCAATCTATATCGCTCACTGTTAACTGTTAGAACCACCCTATAAGTCGATTCGAAATTGTTGGAGTAACATGAGCAGAAGAATCACCAAATAGGCAGACAATCGATTTATTGACCAATCAAAACCAGACCAACTGGCCAATCAAATACACTGTTCGATTCACCACCGAATTGGTGTGTGACTTCAATTAGTGTGACGAGTTTTCCATCCAAAGATCAGTAGTACTACAAAGATATTGAGTAGATTTGGTGAATCAGCACAAAAGTCCAAAAATATTGGCAAAAACGACAATATTACCTTTGTCGTCCGTGATAGCAGTAACAAGAATGAAATGACCTTGGAAAGATGGACGATCGGTTAACTAAGAAGGAAACAACATGAGGTTACTAGTTAGTACTACATAGTACATATCGGGAGTGCACCTGCAAGGTGGTAGTATCATTCCATACGCAACACTCGAGGTGACTGGCGTCGACCAACACAAGAAGCACCGCGGTTGGCATGCGCATCCGCCGCTTCAACTCCGCCGTCGAAACCTGTCCTTGAAACGACCGATCGCGCCACGATGAGTACAGCGGAGCGACCCTAGCGACGTCCGCGGCGTAGTCGGCACTGTAGTACGGATGCGACGCATGCACGGGGTTCACTTGCATCGACGTTGATGCAAACCAAACCTCTACCTTCATGTGTGCAGGTTGGTTAGCTCGGACAATCCAAGCCCACAGGTACGCAACGAGGTCGATCGTCCACACGCTTCGAAACGGCATGGCCTTGCGCAGTTGTGCGTGGAGATGGTTGGCGTTGATGATGTGGAAGACATGTGGGTACAACTGGTGCATCCATCGCATCATCATCTCGATACATGCGAGGCCGCAGTCCCAGTCCGCGGTCTGCCGCACTTGCCGAAGAACCACCACCTCCGCCATCTACTACGTCCATGGATATCCGGATAATC